CCCTTCTGTCCCATCTCGGTGCCCTCAGAGCTTCAGCCGCCAGCCAAGGCTTGTGTCCCCCACTCGGTCACCAGCTGAAGTCCCAACGATGTTTGTTAATTTGGGTCTTGCCAGTGCATTTGCCTTTAGACATAAAGCCTTAGCAGATTGTGAATGAAATGTGCTTGTTGCTTTTGTCATGTACCTCGGAGGCCTCTTGACAGGACACAGCCTTGGAGCAGCAGAGTCAGTTTGGTGAGGGGAGAGTAACCACCCACCCCCTGCTCCCTCGCCTCTGCCCGGGTCCGAGCGGGCCCCACAGCACGTCCTTGCTGCTGTCACAGCGGCTCTTGGGCTTGTGGGTACAACAGGGCCAGGGCACCCGTGGCACTGCTGTGTTCCCATGCCAGCACTGCCGCCCAGAAGGGGTTTGTGACACTGCAGCGTGGCTTAGCAAACCGCATCCAGAAAAGCAGCGTCAAACACACATGCTCAGCACCTCTCCAGATTAAGCCACCTCATGCTGGTTCCTGGCAAATCATCTCAGCACTACAGACCCCAGCCCTGGCAGCATCCGATCAAATCCAGACTAATCTCCTGTATCCCTGCTGTGTTTGTGACCTGCTGGGTGTCGCCCAAGTGTAGTTAGCAAAGGAGTGCGAGCAGCCGTGGCCAGAACAATGCTGACCAGTTGGCGAGGCCGAGGGAGGCCTCATTAGAGCTTATTTGTACCAATTACAGACGATCCTCCCTAATCTCTCAAGATTTCTCAGCTTAAACTGATGCGCTTGGGTCAGGAGCACAACCTCAAAGCACGCAAACACTTGTGTGCCACCAGGTCACTGCTGTGAGCTGCAAAAGTGAAGGGAGAAGAGGGACAGTGTGAATCATCAGCAGGCAGAGGAGATGACTAGGGCTGAGGTTACAAACAGCAACGTCCATGGCTGCAAATCTTTATTTCCCGTCCTGAGATCCACGGAGGCAGCAAAGGTCCCGCCAAGGGCCACACACCACCCCTTGCGTGGCCCAGGGGCGCTGAGGCAGCTGGCCCTGTTGGCCCCGGCGGCAGCAGGGCTTTTGCAGGTGTCACACAGAAAATGGCAGCAGGGGCCCAAGGGCAGAGCCTGGCTGAAGCCCTGTTGTGCCTCTCGGTGAGCTGGGGAGGGAGTGTGAGGCTCGCAGCGGGACTTCTGCTGCCTCGGGGGCACAGGGGCTGTGCGGCCAGTGACTGGGGCTTCATTACAAACCCAGCATCAAACTGCTCGGCCCAGACCAAACATGCCTGTGAGCAGGAATTCAGACATGAAGGGATTTACTAGCTAACGTTTAGGTACAACCAGGCCCAGTCCCTCAGCTGAGGGGGACTCTTTGGCCCCAGACACGTACAAGGGCAGCGAGGAGCTAACCCAGCTCATCCCTTGCCTTGGGAGTGTCACAAAGGGCTTTGAGGCTGCACCAAGCCTGGGCTCCCAGGGCTCCTGCACATCTCACAGCAAAATATCAGCAACACTTCCTTGAAAAGAGTGTCCTTGAAAAGGAGGAGTTCCCCTCCTTGAACAGAGGGGAAAACTCCCCTCTCTCCCCTCCATCCAAGGACTCAGCCCTTTTAGAGGGCAAGACACTGAGCACTGCAATACTTCCTCTGCCTCCCCAGTCAGAGCATCTTCTAATAATTAGCCTGGGTGATTGCTTCCCAAGAATCAGCAGCCCGTCACGAAGCAAGAAGGATTAACTGAGCTGCAGCAAGTGGGGAGGGACAGTGGCTGTGCTTGTCCGGGTGCAGGACGAGCACTCACCCTGGTGAACAGTCTGGCCACAGCTGCTGGCAGAGGACAGCAGTGGTGCCGTGATGGCCTGTGTCTGCGATGGCCTGTGTCTGCAACAGCCTGTGTTTGCAGTGTCCTACGCTCCTGCCTGTGAATCGTTACTTGCTGTCACCAGCAACTTGATGCCAGCTCGTGCCCCAGATGTCAAGGGCTCCGTATCCTGTTACTAATCCACTGAGCCACCCGTCCCTTGATGCAGACTGGATTTACACCAGTAACCTACAAGTGAAAGGCTCGGGGTTGTCTTCTCAATCCCCTGATCTCTCCCTGTCCCCTGGCAGCTGTGCTGAAAAGACTCTCAGTCTTGAATCAGTCCTGTCTGGTCTACCTACAGCCCTGATCATTCACAAGCGGTGTGGGGCACGTGTTTTGGGTATTATCCATTTCCTGCAGGAGAAAGGAATGGGGATTTGGGATGTCCAAAAAGAGCAATGGAGACGTGTGGGTCAGAAGCAGACCTCATGGCTAACAAGACATCTAAGAAGTCAACGTGAGCCAGCCCCACTGCCTGGGCCAGTTCCTGAACCGCACAGGGCTATGGGGCTCAGGTGCCCCGAGGGGACCAGCTCTGCCCTGCCATGTGGAGCTATTTGGAAGCCTCCCTGGCACCAGATTGGAGATGAAAGCAAAAGGATTATCTCTGGAATTAGATTATTTAGATTGGAGCTTTAATCTCTGACCCTGTCTGCACAAGAAAATAGTAAAACTCGCTGGGATTATTTGGGGTTTGTTGTCCAAGTAAAACCAGGCTTGCAGCAAGAGCTTCTGCTGGATGGAAAAAAAAAAAAAAAAAAAAAAAAAAGAATGCTTTGGACCTGCGCTGTCTGACCTGTTCACTGTATCATGGTGAGACCTGGCAGAAAAGAGCTACAGATGATTTGTCAGAGACCCAGTTTTTCTTAGAAGTAGCTGTGGCTCCAGGATTGCCTCTGCAATGACACAAAGGTGTCCTGCGGCCACCCTTCCCCTAGCACAATGTCCCTGCATTTCCTGGGAAGACAAACACAGCTCTGCCATGGTACAAACACAAGGACCTGCCTAAGTGAAAATGGCAGTAGTTCGCAGAGAACTTCCCCAGACACCGTGATGCTGCACTGTGGATGAGTGCAGCCTCTTAGAAACAGGTTTACTATTTTAAATAAAGACCATGTCCTGCCATCTGCTGCTGCGGGCAAAAGGTGCAGATGCCCTGTGCAGGACCTGGGGAGGAGCAGGCGGAGGCAGCCACCACGCTTGTTGCCACTGACGGTCCGTCAGGCTTGTGCACATTGGCTACAGCACACGGCTCATGCCCCGAATCATCACGGGTCCCCACAGGCAGGCACAGCCACTGCTGCACACAGGCAAGCTGGGCAGCTGTCCCCTTGCTCTGCATACACGCGCACACTTCTTCCTCAACGGGCTCTGCTGTAAGTGAAGCCATTTATGTCCCAACACTCCCTATGGCAGACACAAGCCTGCACAGGTCTCTCCCTCCCCCGCACTGTCCTAAGTACATATAGAACTTACTGGGACCCTGGACTCTGCTCAATTTATCACCCTCATCTCCTAAGCACAATACAGCTGCTCTACCAGTAAATATGGAGATCTGAAAATATCCATTTTCAAATTTCTTGGCTCACACCCACACTTCTAAGACTGGACCAGCTCCGTAGACACACACACACAGTTTGCATACACCCACGTGCAAACAAACTCTTCTACTGCTGCACTTCCAGGTACCTATCTGCGCCCCCCGCTTTTATGCGCATGCACACAAACCTGTGCCTGTGCAAACACAAGTACGTGCACACACACAGATATAAGGAGAAATGTACTTTTTCCATTGCTGGGATATCAGCCATCGCTGCAGCTATGCTGGTTGGCACAGCAACAGGAAAGCAGAACAGAAAATCCTCCTTTGGGACATGGATTTGTGGACCCCAAGAGTTTGAAAAGGAACCTGGGAAGTGAGAGATCTGAGATGGAGGAAGCAGGAAAATATTGGTCCCTAACCTCTCAGTTGGAGCAAGGGGGCAACTGAGAGGAAAACAGCTCCCAGTCATACTGAGAAACACACGGCAATGATGATGCCCTTCAAAGCCAAGCAGAAATTAGTCCTGGCCACTTGTGACTGAGCCTCTGCATAGAGAAAGAGAACATCTGTAGGTCTGGCAGGGGAGGGGAAGGGAGCAGGAGGTTGGGAGCATCTTGGGAAAGCAGAAGGAGGATGAGCATCTGTATGCCTGGAAGCAGCTGGTAGGGCCCCGAGGGCACTGTCATGGTCACCGCTGTGGACACATTAAGCATTTTTGAGTGTGAACAAGCTGGAGAGCAGGGCACTGCCACACAAGGAGGCACCGGGCCACTCTCCGCCACCAAGGGTGCTACAGCTCAGCTCCCACAGCACAGCCTCCACTGTGCTCCTTGCCACCACGCCGCGGGGGCTCTCACTTGCCCCTTTGCAAGCCAGGGGGATGCAGGGGTGGAGACCCTCCACACTGCCCTCACTGCGAGGCACCTCCAGGCCCCTTGGCTATGGGGACAGCAGGAGGGAGGGCAGAGACCTGCCACAGGCTTAG